TTGTTTAAGGTTTGGATTTATTTGTGGTATTTTTCCTTTGAATATTCAGCACGCGGATGGGTTTTTTTTGCCGGTAACCGCTGTGATGCGGCAGTTTCTTCTTTACGTGTGCCGTTTAAAGCATGTTTATTTGCTTCAGGTTGTCTTCAAACTGCTTTTCACTCACGTATATTTGAGCTCTGAGCTTGTATATTATGTTTAAAAGCGTCTTTAACCAGATGTAACAACGCACAGCTGTAAAGGAGCTGTAAAAGATCAGTTTGAGGCTGTTTTTGGGCACTCAGCTGGTGACTGATCTGCTGGGTTTCCCTGCCCAACATCTGGATGTGAGCCGGGGCCCTGGGCTGTGTTTGTGTGCTCTGACGGCCGTCCTCTTCTCCCCCGTCTCCCCAGACACGGCCTCCATCGCTTCTTCTCCTGCCGCGGCATCGCTCTGGCCGTGGAGACCTTCTGGAGGAGGGGCCACAGGGAGATCACCGTGTTCGTCCCCCAGTGGCGGCAGAAGAGGGACCGGCTCACAACAGGTACGGCACATCTGGACTCAGAAACCGGGAGACCCTGTTTCACACAGTGAACTCGGACTTTAAAGCTACCCGGTGCAGGAATTCCTCCATCTGACGGTGAAACTGTACTCTGCATCCTAACAAATCTGCTCTCTAGTGCCTTCGTTTTCAAATGGGTATTGCAGCTACGGTAGCCGTCAGGCATCAAGAAGTAATGACAGCATGACTTCCACATCACGGAGTTTTCTCTGGTGATGAGGTTTGGAATTTAAAAGAAAAGACAAACTGCATTGAATCATTAGTGTGAGCGTGTAATTACTCCTCCAACAAGATAAAGAATTACGTTTCCATGTTAGCTTGTTTTTTTTAGCTAGACAGTCAGACTAGTGCTTTATGTCCCTCTCTGCCATTATAGTTTTTCAAAATGGCAAGGAAATTCTTCACTTATGAAGTCAGATCATTGAAGAGGTAATTTTACACCAAATGAGGACACATTTAGAAATTATAAAAAATTATTTTAGCTGATAAAATACTACACAGTGTCCCTTTAAGGGCCAGGGCGCTCTGTGTGAGGCCACACAGGAGTAAAGGCAACTTGCTCTTCTTCTTGGCTCTTGAAAGCGTTCCTCCTCTCTGCTTATAAGCAGAGACTCTGCGACTTCTGCAGGCCACCGATTGGCCAGGGAGTGCTTTATGAGGAGCCCATGACTTTCAAAAGCCTAGAGGCGGCTGGCTGTGCTGATCTCACACACTCTGAGTCATGGAAAAAGGGCGTTCGACAGACTTCAGGTGAGAGTGACTAAAGGTGACTAAAGGCAGCGCCTGGAGGGCTCAGAATACTCTTTAGGGGATTCCCCATTCCTGAAGGGCTGGAGGTGTAGGTGATTTCCAGGATCTAAAAGCAGCTCTGGCTGCCATCAGAGCCGAACAGGGACAGGCTGCGGATTCCTGATTCACGCCCCAGAAGATAACACCAAAGTGGCTCAGCAGGCCACGACTGATCAGCAGCAGTGGAGCGATGCTGATCGTCCCTCTGGGCAGGAGGCCGTTCTGAGGGAGGGGAACAGGGAGGAAAGGCCAGCTCTGATGGAGGGATGGATCCTCACTCCCACACTTTTTTAATACACCAAAACAGCAAAAACAAGGCTAAAATGACCAAATATACAACAAAATAAGGAAACACAGAGCTAAAATGACCAAAATAGAGTCGGAAGTAGAGCTCAAACTACCTAAAAATGCAATAAATTAGCTACGGTGACCTAAATAGAGTGAAAATTGAGCTAAAGTCAGAAAATGGATGAAACCAGGAAGCAGCATGCGGGCGTCATCTGAG